TCATGATAGCGATATATAGTACTGGTCGGCATATGGACAATGCTATTTGGGGTAGAAAAATTTGTGGCATGAATTTTGCATCTCAGTGATTTGGAAAAAGAGAATTTGTTATGCCTCGGATCAAGAGTTTCGTTTACTTCATGTACTTGTTCGCAAAGTATGACTTCAAGTGTGCATGTGCTGAATCTTAACAAACTGCATCACCAAGGCTTTAGATAGGTGCGCGACTCAGCACGACTATACCTTTCGGCATTGGGATCTGAGATCCTCCTACAACTGATAGTGTCATTATGTTTTGAAAAGTAAGGGCTATTTCTATATCTTTACGCCGCTTTTTAGAAAAGGATTCAATGAAAATGAAGAACAATCCGATAATCTCTTTTAATCGCCATCAAATTGACTAGGTGCGTCGTGGCACGTTCTTGTTTTTTCAGTATCAGATTTCTCAATTCAAGTATGTACGGTACTTCGGATCCTTAGGATACTACTATTCTCTAAAAACCCTTAAGGAAGAAAGGAAAGGGAAAAAACTTTCCCTGTACGGAAGTTTTTTTCCTCTTGCCACGTGAGGGATGCCTACATGGCGGATACCACGTGACATGTTTGCAGGCAAAGACGCGCGTAGACCGCAGCCAGGGTGCCGAGCGCGATCGCCATCTTCTGTTCAAAAAAATTGGCCACCAACAGTTGCTAAGAGGTAAGCTTCTTTACCATCTCAAACTGTCAAGCAGTATCTTACAGCCACTCGCTCGAGGCTTCCGCTTGTAATAGAACTGGCCGTCAATTGTGTGGATAGAGGTGCTCTGTGTTCCAGGTTAAAGTGCTATTTTGTAGAACTTTTTCTTGCATTGAAAGATGAGCGAAAATCCATTCCTACTAGGCGAAAAGCTCCTGAAAAATCGGCTGTCGACTCCGTCCGCTAGATACTCCCAGCTTTCTGTGTCAGATACTATCACAGAACTTCAAACTGATTCTCAGAATGGTTTGTCTAATAGTCAGGATATACTTAATCGGCGGCTGCTTCATGGGATAAATGAGTTGAGCTCTGATGAAGAAGAGTCTTTGGTGATGAAGTTTATTTCGTCTTTTTACTCAGACCCATTGATTCTTTTACTCATTGCATCCGCTGTGCTCAGTTTCTGGATGGGGAACGTCGATGATGCAGTCTCTATCACCTTGGCGATTACTATTGTCGTCACTGTTGGCTTCGTCCAAGAATATCGCTCGGAACAAAGCTTGCAAGCGTTAAACAAACTTGTTCCAGCGGTGACAAAGCTAACAAGGAATAGCAACACATCCAGCGTGTTGGCATCTGCCTTAGTACCTGGCGACTTGGTTCATTTCTCGCAAGGGGATCGCATTCCTGCTGATATTCGCTTGACAGAAGCCGTACACTTGAGTATTGACGAGTCCAACTTGACAGGTGAAAACAGGCCGGTGAAGAAACAAGTCAATGCGATTCCTAGTATTCCTTCCGATGCCGCAAACCATGCACCAGTCACTGAAAGAACTTCGATTGCCTTCATGGGTACATTGGTCCGTGATGGGCACGGAACAGGGATAGTAGTTGCTACTGGGTCTCAGACAGAGTTTGGCGTTGTTTTTGAGATGATGTCAGAAATCGAGAAACCCAAGACCCCGCTTCAACAAGCCATGGACAAATTGGGAAAAGATCTTTCAATTTTCAGTTTTATTGTCATTGGAATCATCTTCTTATTGGGAATCATACAAGGCCGCGCGTGGTTAGATATGTTTCAGATCTCTGTCTCATTGGCCGTAGCAGCTATTCCGGAAGGATTACCAATTATTGTTACTGTGACCTTGGCTTTGGGTGTCTTGAGAATGGCCAAAAGAAAAGCAATTGTGCGCAGATTACCCAGCGTGGAAACTTTGGGCAGCGTCAATGTTATTTGCTCTGATAAGACGGGTACCTTGACACAGAATCACATGACGGTCACCAAAACTTGGGCATTTGACTTCAAGAGCTCTGGATCGTTTAATAGTCCTTTCCTACTTGTCGATAAATTGAGTGACAACACATTACATCACTCCTTGACACCTAACATGACTCAAGTATTGGAGGTAGGAAACATCTGCAATAATTCGAAGTTTTCGAGAGAAAATGATAAATATGTGGGAAACGCTTCCGATATTGCTATCATGGAATGCTTGCCTCATTTTGGATTGGAAGATATGAGGGGCACAAAACAAAGAGTATATGAGTTGCCATTTTCGTCTGAGAGAAAATTTATGGCTATATGCGTCCATGGTGGGGACATCAACAAATCTGAGACCCACGTTAAAGGTGCTACTGAAGCCGTCCTTAAAATGTGTACTAGATATTTGGATGAGTCCGGCAATATTCAAAATATATCAGAAGATATTTTGAAAAGAATTCATGAAAATTCAACTGCCCTCGCATCGGAAGGATTGAGAGTCTTGGCATTCGCCAAAAACAGACAGTTATTTACAGATGAGAAGGAGATTCATTCTCCTGTACCCTCGAATTTGGTATTTTGTGGATTGATTGGTATGAAGGATCCTCCAAGACCAAATGTTGGACATGCAATATCCATGTTGATGAAAGGAGGAGTTCATGTGATCATGATTACCGGTGACTCGCCTTCTACCGCGGCCAATATTGCAAAGCAGATTGGCATACCATTCACAAGCAAAGATTCCATCATGACTGGAGATCAGTTAGACAGTTTAGATGAGGAAAGCTTGAGTCTCGCGATACATAATGTATCAGTATTTGCAAGAACCACACCTGAGCATAAAGTCACGATTGTCAAAGCCTTACAGAGAAGAGGCGATATTGTCGCCATGACTGGTGACGGAGTCAACGATGCACCAGCATTGAAATTAGCAGACATCGGTATTGCCATGGGTAAAAATGGAACAGATGTCGCGAAAGAAGCTGCAGACATGGTTCTCACAGATGACGACTTCTCCACCATCTTGTGTGCAATTGAAGAGGGGAAAGGCATTTTTTACAACATTCAAAATTTCGTGACTTTCCAGTTGTCGACGTCGATTGCTGCCTTGACATTAATCGCATTGGCTACATTTTTTGGATTGCCCAACCCTTTGAACGCCATGCAAATTTTGTGGATCAACATTCTTATGGACGGGCCCCCTGCTCAATCGTTGGGTGTAGAGCCTGTTGATCATGAGGTCATGAACAAACCGCCTAGAAAAAGAAATGATAAAATCTTGACGCAAAACGTCATCAAAAGGGTTTTACAAAGTGCTGCCATGATCATCCTTGGCACTTTATACATCTTTATTCGGGAGATGCAGGACAACCAGATTACGGCAAGAGATACTACCATGACGTTCACATGTTTTGTCTTCTTTGATATGTTCAACGCATTGTCTTGTCGTCACTACTCTAAATCACTTTTTGAGTTGGGATTCACGAACCCGATGTTTAATTTCGCGGTGCTCGGCTCTCTCTTCGGGCAATTGTGTGCGATATATGTTCCGTTCTTTCAATCCATCTTTCAAACAGAGGCTCTCACATTGAGGGATTTGATCAATTTGTTGATAATCACAAGTACCGTTTTCATTGGTGATGAGGTAAGGAAGTATTTGTTAAAAAGGAGAACGATGTACAATGGTTTTGACTACAATGTTTGAAATTTTTATGATGTAAATCCATACGTATAAAACAATAAGTTACATACCCACTTCAATACTGTTTATCCATGATAAAGAATCGATTAACTACTCTTTTTTAATATTTCTTCCAAGCTAACCACCCCTTGAAAGTTTGCGTCCCCAAGCTTCTCGTATAACTTCAAAGCCACGGTTTCAGTACTTACTGGTGGCCGTATAAGATCATTCAATGGTGCAATTTTGTCTGAGAAAAGTATGTTTTTGACATTGTAACCCAAATCAATGAATCTGCTTAAGATCTTTCTGTTGTTCATGACTGGCTCATTCGCATCATACATGAAATTGGGTCTCATAAAAATTGCACGGAGGCCTTTTTTGCATGAAAGTTCAAACTCTGCTTCTCTCTTTGTAGAAAGGTACTCGTCAGGCACGATAGGAGGCTTCGCATCCGCAGAAATATATACAAATGCGGGAATTTTTTCACTTGCCCCTTCCTTCTGACTGACATCCAAAAACGAGTCGGCGAGAATAACAGCCAGATCCCTTTGTATAGCCCCATATGTATTCGAAGGTTTTCTGGCCATGGGATTTGACCCCTTTAGAGAATTCGCCAATTTTTGTACATCATTCAAAAAACTAAAATTCAGATTGATACTAGACTTGTAGTCCAGGTCTTCAAAAAGTATACCAACTGAATGCACAACCGCTGTTTTGCCAGCTAGCTTTTCTCTATACGATTCAGGTTCCAAAAGGTTTGCTTTCTCCCAATTCACTTTAGAAATCCATGAGTTGTCCATGTGAGACAATGCCTTTGGGGCAGCTCCTGACCTCGAAAGCGAAGTGACTGACCAACCTTGACGCACCCCAATCTCACATATTTTACGCCCCAAAAATCCGTTTCCACCCAAGACTGCAATTGAGCTCATTCTTAAAGTAGGTTTTCAAATGATGGTGGAAGCTAGAGTGGCGACAGAACAGCAAGTTGCCGCGGTAAGCAATCATGTATGCTTGTACACACTTCACTCGCTTGGTGATCTGGGATATTCTATACAAGAAGAATTTTGGTATTTTCTTGATATTACTTTCATGCTGATTTCAGGATTTTATTGATTGACGTTCTGATTTGCTCGGGCCAATTAATATATTAACATGAAACGTACCATTTATATAGTTAGAATCAGAGTATGAGAGTCATAGGTTCTTCGCGTTATTTCATAGGCCAGTGTGTTTCCCGCATACAGTCTCTTGATGAATCCCTTGACGATGTATTAAGCGAACTTTCGGTCTTCTTCACAATTGAAAAGAGACTCTCTGAATGACAGCGGGAGAAAAATCAAAACAAAAGTTGCATGGGCTTTCAATTTGTCTCGCAATGTAACTTTCTCAGTAGAGGACTACATGCTGGTGTAATTAATTGACTGTATCAACCTCGCAATGTGATGGTGCATACACATTACATCATATTATAGGGTGTCACTGGAGAGATGTAAAACCCCACCACTAACGAAAAACTATAAAGAAAAAACCTATAATAGATCGCAACATTGGCTCAGGTGTGAAGGCGCGAGCACCAATTCACGAAATCTCCCAAAGAGAATGTCAAAAAGACTTCTGCCCATGACCAATCTCAACCACTTGAATAAAGTTAACCAAATGTCATCGTCCCATAGGGGATGTTTTTCTGAGGGCCCGTAGCCACAGTTCATTTGGCAAGGCGGCAAGACGTACATTTGTCTTTGCCTCCTGGTCCCTAAGCAAATAAACCATGCGAACGGCTTTAACAAATCAATTAAGGTTTCTTAAATTGTTAAAGGAAGTTTTCAAGGGAGCTAGCATCTCCCTTAAGTGCATTGTAGCTTGAAAACCGATCTTTTGCCACCAAAAGTGCACAAACATATCGGACAGCCTACAACAAGAACTTCAAAGTTTAGCAACTACGATCTCTGCTTAACACAAATTTGGATTTGAAAAAATATAGACAGAATACATTTTATAGATTCCAGTGAACGCTCATTCACTAAATTTTTTGCGTAAAAAGACGAATTCCTCGTCCTCTACTTCCTCCATAGAAGGATGTCTTTTCAAATAATTGGTATCGTCATCTACCAATCTTTCACATTCCTCAGAGTTTATCGACTCAGTTTCTTGATTAGTATTCTCAACTTCATCTTGCGAGATTGAGTTTTCAGCAGATGCGGATAGTTCAGAAGAACTACCGGGCACAAAAGAATACTCATTAGATTCATTAGATTGGCAGCTACAAGAGCTGACTTCTGTCTCAAAATTCAGATTCCCAGTAGCTTTCTTTGTTTCATTGTCTCCAAGGTTCAGTCCATGTTTTCCTGTGATTAAAGCGCCTCCAATCAATGCGTATAAATACTTTTGAGCCTCTTCTTTGTTCAATTGTTGTTGTTTTTCAAACTTTGACAGCTTAGATATTTTTTCTCCATCCTTCTTGGCGGCATGACTGATGCTTTCATTATGTGTTTCATGGGCGCATTTGCGTTTTTGTTTAAGTTGAGCTTGCTTCACTGCTTCAAATGCCCCATGTTCAGTGCTTGCAATCTCGCGCTTAGGGGTGCTGAATTGGTTCGATGTATCGTCGCGATAATATTCGCGAGCTCTGTTCAGCTTTTCAATATTGATGTTTGCAGTTTGTGTGATTTGGTTCGGTATATCCATTTTTACTTGAACTGGGACTTCTCTCCCAGCAAAATCAGTATTTTTAAGACTTTTTTTTGAATCAGCCTTGGGCGTTGTTGTGAACGTCAAGTTAGAAGGCATGACACTGAATAAATCAACAAAGATCTGGCGTCTTTTTGGGACATTCAAAATCAAGGCACTGTGCCTCTCATACTGCTGCCAGCTGATTCGGTCAATGTCAATGTCTTTGCTTAAGAATTGAAAGACTTTTTTAAAACCGTCAACAAACGACTCGACCACTAAGTTCACGACAAAGGGATTCCTTGAGTCTGCTGATACCCTCAACTTGTAAGAGCGGAAATTTCCAAGATCCTTGAATAATTGAATTTGATATAAGTCATCGGTTTCAACTCTCTTTATATATTTCGGTTTTTGCAGAATAGCACATTCTAAATATTGCGTCTGCTGAACATTGTGCATTAACGCGTCAAGAAAGATTGCTGATGATGGCGTGATACAGGTAAGCATTGTGTTTTTGATGAAGAGATGAAAATGAAACCAAATTTACCACCCGACCAAATTATGGCTAAATATATGTATTAGTTTGCTTATAAATTGTAAGAACATTCTAGAATAATAGGTATCCCGATATCACATATACTTTCCAGAAAATTCGAAAATGCGCAGCATAAATGGAGGTGGCGGAAACTTCTAGATACTGCGGCGGGAGTTCTTGTTGCATTTCTCGCAGGACTGCGTAAATGTCAGCCCAAAAAAGCACACTGTGATTACAAATTTTGAACGGCATGACTCAAAAACACAAAAAGAAATCTAGAATGATATGGATCATAAATTATGTAGATACAGTAAGGTATAAAGTTTGCGTGGAAGTAATTGTTTCGGTTCCCTCCGAATAGTAATCAAAATCAACTATGCAAATCAGGCCCGAAACCACATGGGTCAGAGATTCAGCAAGAGTAAATCCGTCCCAAACCGACGGAAAAGAGGTTACTTGACTTTTGTCAATGGTGCTTGTGGTCATAACCGATGTGCTTGTCCATGCGGAAGAAGTTGTAGTAGCAGGATCCAAAGTTTGTAGTGACGTCGTTGCTTCAGCTTCTTTCTCTGTAGTGAAACTGCTGGTCTCAGCAGGAATTTGGGTAGTAACAGGATCCAAAGTTTCTATTTGAGTAGTTTTCTCAGCTTCTTGATCTGTTGTGAAATTGCTGGTCTCGGCAAGAGTTTGCGTGGTTTCAGACTCCAAAGTCTGAGTGGTGAATTCGGTTTCTTTTTCGCTGGTGTCGGCAGGAGATTGGGTAGCTTCAGTCCCTGTAGCCGCAACAACGGAGCTATATACACTTATTTAAATTGTGGATGTAAAAGTTGAAGTGTATCGAGTAGTTGTTGATGTTGATGTCAGTGTACTCCAATCGATCACTGTCGAAGTTGCCGCGTCAACAACGTGAGTATTGGTCACCGTCTTATCCACTGTCTTCGTGACTTTTATAACTTTGACACCACGTTTTTTATTGTCTGATGCAATAGAAAGGTAAGCAAGTGAAAGAAGTGAAAGAAGGATGGAAAATTTCATTATTAATTGGATGAAATATTATTTAAATGAATGACTGGGGTGGGTGCAAAAGAGCGACTAGGGTTAAGATGTTGGCGAGCGGAAATTTGTGTGAGATCAACCAAGGGTATTCGGGTTTATTGTTTCTTGTTTTTTAAGAGGAGAGGTGGAAATTTTGAAAACCGAAGGATGTACTTTAGGGGATTTTAATGTGATTATGTAGTGAAGATGTGTCCTATTGCGAGTGCATGCTGACTGCTTGCTGGTTCTTTGCTGGTTTACCCACGTGTGTGGTGGAAAGCCAGCAGCGGCTGGTACCCAAGTCTCAAAAAGGAAATGGTTTACAACTCTCTGTAGCATCCTTCGAGTAGGCTTTAATAAAATACCTGCAGCAAGCGTCGAATAATTTTGCAAAGGCGAATTTCTATTCGAATTTGGGTGCCAGCCACACTATATGCAGTTAAAGCTGGCCTGTGCGCACCGTTTTGGGAAATTGATCAAGTTGCCAGCATCTGTAAGAAAATTCCCGAAAAAGTAAGCGAACTTCTATCTTCGGCGGGTATAACTATATGCCTTGAAGGCGAATACCGACACGCTTTACAGTGTTCGCTGGTAAAGATAAGTTATTTTATTCCTACATTCACTACCTACCAAAGCCCAAAACCTCCATCAAAGTAAAAATTGGAGCTGTTATTTTATATAAAAAAAATATGCGTTTCCTACAGGGATCTGAATATGTTTAATGGAATCAGCATGTGCTCTCTTCTAAAAAATTGGAGATTTCACTTAATCTGACACACGCGACTTGTTTCAAAAGACCAGCAAAATGCTGAACGGCTGGCGCGATTTATTCGCCCTCGGTTTGACTGGCCACGACTTCCGGTCCTACCTCACCACCCCCGTTTTCCCCCTCCCTCTCCAATTCCGGCCTCTACTTTAGTAATCTGGGGAAATCTGCATCCAAAACAAGTCAGTCAGAAACCATTTTTTCAAATATTTCACTCCCTGTGCTATTTTTTTTTTACTGGTTCTTGTCAGAAATACCTGCAATGAGCTATTTCAATGGTTCGTCATCGGGAAATAATCCTCTTGCATTCCCGTCATATAATCAACAAAATTTACAACAACGAAACATTACTGGCCTTAGCCCTGCAAACAACCCAGTGAACCAACTACAGAACCAATACAGTGAATCTTCTTTAAGCGCACCTCTACAACAAGGTGAAAATCCAGCTTCAAGACAAGCTGACGAATACATTAACTCTGAGAGTGAGGTGCGCAATGCCCAAGGAAGTTCGGCCAGTGGCACTAGATCACAACAGAGTTTAAAAAAAAATCGTGCGGAAGACGGTCCGAAGAAAACGTCATTAAAAAAAGATCGAGTCAATCGTCCGGGACAAAAGTTTGGGGCAAAGAAGAGACTGTGGGTATGGTCGTGGTTTGTGCAAGATTTGAACGACCAAAATGTTGCAGTGTGTGACTTTTGTGGAAAAGTAATCACCCGTGTCACTAGCGATCGGGGCCTGCCTAAGAAATTGGTAGAGCATCTCCATACACATAAGCTTACAAAGGACCTGATCAATGCGTCTCGCCCCATTCCAATGGATGGCAGTGGGAACTCTTACTTGAGCAACCTTCAGACTTCTTATGCCGGCCCCTTTCCGCAACAATCAGGGAACAGCGGAATCAATGATGTTGTCTCTTCGGGAACTCCCGGACAAATAGGATTGGCTTCGCCTTCTCAGCATCCGCAACAAACTGTCACGCGACATAAAAAACTACAGTCTCTGCTGTCTCATGCGCAACTGTCAAATCCCCAACGCCATGCAAGCTCTGAGTCCATCGCTCCTGAACTTCAGCAAAACGGTTCAAAGTATAGACGAACGAATACAATGACTGAGTACTCGTCAGAAACGCAACAGCTTCATCCACAATCTCAAGTCCACATTTCACAGCTTCATACACCCAACTCCAACTCACAGACACAACACAGTCGAAGATATATTCTGTCCAAGTTCGAAAATGCACCATATTCGGGACCTATTTTTCATCGTCATCTTCTCAAGTTTCTAGCTGAAAACAAGCTCCCGATTCGTATCCTCAAGCTGCATTCCTTTCAGCAACTTATATATGACTTGAGGCCAGACTCAATCACCGACTTATTAGATCTTACTGGTCTTTATACTTCTTTTGTGGAGGTTGCCCGCGCTGAGAATCTAAATGAAACTTTGAGCAATAATGATTCATCCATCGCTGAGACGAACGTCGTCAATACTTTGGCACAAGAAATGATAAAAAAATGATCACAACATTGCATCGCCTTTAGTTAAGGGCAAATCGGATCTTATAAACTTCCTCTCTACACAGCAGGTAATTTGTAGCATGATATGTGAAGCATGAGTAATGAAGTAACGACAATTATATTGGCTTTTCTCTAGAGTTGTAACCAAGAGTATTACTTAGTGTTTGCTAACTGATCGTACCCAAGTATTGTTTTCATCGAATTCGCGCCACAATCGACTAATAGACATTCCAAGATCATATTTCCTCTTCTCGATTTCATCCTTTTTACTTCTCAATTTTTCAATGGCCCGGGTAATCTTCAGGCGAGTTGGGTAGTCAATTTCCACATTATACGGCGGAAGGAGAGTACTTAAAAAGCGGACTTCTTTTTCGATCTTGTCGATGCGCGTCACGTATTCATCGTACTTAGATTGATTGTGCTTTAATTGATACGCTTTGTCACCCATTTTCCTATCAATCGCACGGGATTTGTTCTCTGGTAAGTTCCCGTAACGCTGAGTAATGGGTCGTAAATTTCCTCCTTTTTCTTCTATGGGCATACCTCCTTCCCTCGAAATTTTCCGTACTGTAAATTTGATTGGCTTTTTTGATTCAGTCCTCTCTAGCAGATTTGACGCCCGGGGTTTGATCACGTTGTCGGTAGGCGAAGCTGGTGATATCCCGGAATCAGGCTCAAATTTTTCGACAGTATAGTGTTCTTTTTCAGAAGTACGTAAGCCACTCATCGACAAATTATTAATAAGATTTTGTGTGGAATCTGTCGACAGAATCGAAGATATAGATCCTTTCCGTGATGCAGAGCAAATACTCTCGGCTTCGACTTTTGATGAGAGAATTTCACTAACAGCATCTTCTTTCCGGATGTCTGCGGAGATTTCTAGAGTTTGAGTTTCAGTTGAAAAGGTTTTAGTTTCAGTGACCACTGTGGAAGATTCCATTGGCAAAGGGCCCAGCTCATACTTTTCCCCTTCACCATCCTCCGTCTCCGATCTTGATCTCTCAGATCCATCTGAGGGGTAATTTACAGTCTCTGGAAGAACATTACCCACATCATTACTCAACGATTTGCGTGAATCGTTCAGGTCATCTTTTAAACCAGCTGTTCCGTGCCCAAGATCAATCTGTGTGTTCGTTTCACTTGCGACTAGAGACAAGTTTGTGGGTTCGGCAATTATGGCAGCTTGTTCTTCATGCGACATAAGAATAAAATATCCGAAAGTTTTCTAAATTAGTTCAAAATTTTAGGGGTGGGTGTTTCAGACGTGATTCTTGGCGGCGGTGAAGAAGACAGAAGCGAGATGTGTACACGTCTGAGCTATGGGTCGTGTTAAAACCTTAGAAACGCGCCATCTGGGCCCCACTGCTCAGAAATTGTGCTGTGTAGCTCATTAAAATGAACACGAGGTTATCTTCAGACTTCCTTAAACTTTACAAAATTATAACAGAACGATCTATATATGGATGTGCACAAGTCCTTGACATGTATGAAGACTCTGTGAAATTCTTATGTGCGATTTTCTTCTTTTCATTTAGATAGCTTCTTACAAACATCACGTATGTGCTGGCAGGTATTTACTTGTACCAGCACAAAATTGCATGTAGTAAATTTAATTATCTTCAATGGCTATAAGTACTGAGAAGATAGTTTTATCAGGCCGCGGAGCTTTCAACTGGTCGTACATTTTTGAGTATTGTTGAATTTCAAAGTAATTTGCGACTTCAAAAGATGGTGTCCAATCGTCCGCGCGACTTCATCAGCACATTACAGGTGGTAGGTCTATCCTCTCAGCTCAATTCTTATTTCCTACCATGTCTTCCACACTTCACCTCGTAGATCTTGTCGACACATTTCCGTATGAGACCAACGAATTCTACTGGACCTTGACTACTTGTTGTGAACAACCTTTGGGATACATCACCCCTGATATTGCAAAACGTTTTACGAGAAATGACCATGCGCATTATTTCGATGTAGATATGGCGATACGACGTGTCAAAATTAGCAACAAATTGGACACAATTGAAAAACGAGATGCAGCCTTTAAAGAAATTGCGTTATTCTGGAGGAGAACAGATCCTTCTCTCGAAAAGGGTTGGCGTGATGAGCTGTATACTGTGTATTTCCCTAAAGCTACTCCATACGCTCATCTTGAACGTGCATTCGCATGTCTTCTAGGGGTAGTAACATATGGCGTCCATATCACTGGATATGTTCCGGCTGATAAAACGCGTGATAACACTTTGAAAATCTGGGTTCCCAAGCGCTCGGCTACAAAGCAAACATACCCTGGAAAACTAGATAACACCATTGCTGGGGGCTTGGCGTATCCATATTCTATCACCGAAAATGCCATCAAAGAGTGCTACGAAGAAGGAGGATTGAGTGAAAGTTTTGTGAAACAAAACTTGGTTGGAGCAGGTGTGCTTTCATATATGTGTCAGCCATTTGGGCCCAAAGGGCATGTACAGCCTGAAGTTGAGTACATTTACGATTTGATTTTTGATTCTGAGACTGACAATATTCCCCAACCGATAGATGGGGAAGCGGAAGATTTCAAGTTGATGCTGATCACCGAAGTACACCAAAGGATTTTAAATGATGAATTCAAACCCAACTCCGCATTGGTGATTGTGGATTTTATGATCAGACACGGCTACTTGAGTTGGGAAAATGAGCCCCACTACTTGGAAATCGTCTCTCGCATCCACCGAAAACTTCCATTTTCAACCATGAATTGAAAACAGGTCTTTGGAAGACCTCTCCATAACAAGCTATATGATGCTCACGAAGCTTCATTTTGTTTTTCCCGTATAGTATTCCTTTAAACACGTATGTTTCTGATAATGTGAAGTATTCACCATGGCTCATAAAATGATAGCTATTCAGTTAAGTAAGTCTTTCGAAGCATTATTGTCGCAACCCATGAGGAAGAAGCTGATGCATGCTTGAGCGATTTTACGAACGAAAAGTTGTCCTGCATTCCACCTGCCATTCTCACTTTTTTTCACTTCGGGTTCACGGCTGTCAATTATGCTTCAAAGAGACAAAAGTGACGACAGTCTTAACACATACCTAGCAAACTGCCTGAGTGTACTGGAGAATGAACATGACCTCGAATCTGTCTTTTCTGGCGAAACGCTAGATGCAGCCGCTACTCCAGTTTTTCGCAACCGCATCCTGTCTTACACGACGCTCAGAGAACTCCCAGTCGTTTCAGGAATGCTCAAATCTGAACACTTACTATATCCTTCTATTGCAGCTTTGAAGAAAGGAGAGCCACCCCTACTCTCCACACAGCTGAACAAGCTACATTTTATAAAAAAAAATGCGCCTGTCCTCACTGTTTTTATCCATGAAAAGGGCCTGAAGCGCGAATATTGTAAAATCTACTTTAAAGTTTTACAAAATAATTTGACTTGTTATGTGCTCATGTTTTCTGAGGGCGATAACATAGTTCTCTTCAACAATGCCTTGAAACCTCATTGCGATGCCATTTTTAAGGACACCAAGATCCGGGTCATTGGCGCTTCAGGTGCTTCCTCCACTTTCGGTAATGCTGCAATGAAGATGTTTCTTTTGAACAGCTCATCTGTGTCTCTTGTTGATGGCATGGAAAAGGATCTTATAGAATCTATGGAATCTATAAAAGATCTCACCATTTCGAATGCTCAAAAATCTAACAAGCTCTATGGCGCTGTTGCTAGCCAGAGGCGCACTGAGGTACTGAAACTCCTATCCCTGGCAGTATCAATAGCTCCAGTACCATTCGCGACATTTTTTGAACATGGCAATCGAAAGATTGATGGTGTAAAAGTGCCTGGGTCTATTCGTATATTTCAAACATCACCAAAGACATCAGATGTCCACATGTCAAATGACTCTCTCGTTTTATCTACAATAATGTTGACCTTGATTGAACAAGAGGTTCTGAAAATGCGGGGAAACAATAAGCCATCGTTGGTTTAACAAAAAAGAAATTATCATAAAAAAAAACGAGGGACAAGGTGGCTTGAGTAAAAATAGATGAAATGTAGGATTTGTCCAATAAATGGACTTTGATTGATGTCAAGCTGATTGATCTACGTAGCTCATTTTTTACTTGAGCCTTGAAAGGTATATGAAACAAAAGAAATGACCTCCAAAGAAATTCAAAACTTCTTTAACATGCTCGCGAAGTCCCCCCCTTGGAACAACGATCTAATTTTAAACGCTTTTATCAAACCTTCTTCGGCTTTATGGTGATGCACATTGACTCTGTATGCATTTTCATTTTTTTTTTCTTGTGTTTTTAGGGGGAAAAACAGTTGATTATCCGGAATTTTATGCTCTACTCTCGAGTTGGTCACGTACACCATACAAAGTAAGATTTCATATTATCAAAAGCGTAGAGCGCATGACCGAGAGAATCTAGGAGTCTTCTAGAAACAGAATTTGACTTCTCTAAAGTCTTTCATTGAATAAGATCTGGATTATATATTCCCGATGACCGGAGCATAAGCACATGAATCTGTACATCAAAAAGTGGCCCATCAGATGGGCTCTGTTTCGCACTTCATCCAGAAAAGGGCCTAAGATAAGATCTTCACCTGTCTAAGCCTGATTGCATAAGCCTTCCTTACTACCCTTACAAACTTTCTTGTTGCTATTTATTTGGAAAATCCTCTGATGAAAGGAGCAAAACTACAAAACAATATATAGAATATCTTCGAAAAGCTCCCAAATACGTGGCTAGTGTCCACAAACAGTCCCTTCATTTCCGTTAATAACAGTCTGGAAGGTCCTCTTGGCACGCTTTTGTTTACGTATTGGAAATCTCATCATCAGTCTCTAATAAGTTTCCTGTAGTAGTTGCTTCAAGTTAGAGGGTTAGGCTCACCTCCTACGACTTCACCAGTTTTCCAGTGTATCACTTGAAGATCGTGGTGATGATCCGCTTCAAATTTATTACTTTTTCCAAAGATTGTCGTGTGGATGCAACATTTCATTTGAAATCATGGGTTCTGCAAAGTTCAAGTCTTACCACAAGTATTTAGATGCTTTATATTCATCGTAATATGGTTGAGGAAACCGTCTATGGCGTCAAAGCTCCTTTTCAGAGTCATATTTATTCACATAATGAAGTACATTGCCACGCACATTGCACCCAGACTTCCATCGTAACAAAATCATCCAACAAGAAGTAACAGTCAGAACGTACGATTTTTTTTTTTGAAATCCAACGAAAATGCTGGGAAAGAATTTCACCTCGGAAAAAAGTCCCAGCCTATCTGAAAGATTCTTATGGACCACGGTATCCTTTCTTTGAATGAGCGAGCCTCGGGTATACTTTGAGAAACCCATCTTCCCAGAAGATGCCATAACTCGTTGTCTCTGGAAAATTCTCCCCCTTGTTATGAGACAGAAACAGCGAATTTCATGACTGATCTTACTCTGAATAAAACCCCTCCTCGACAGAGAATGATGGACCGAATCAAAGAACAGAATTGATCCTGTAAATCAGCTTTTCCCACATGCTGAATTGCCCACATAGGTTTATTTGGTCTCATTTGTCTTATGTGTTGCCGGCGTGGGATTTTTTGGTGTGACTCTTTTGTTCACAATTTGGGTGGTGTTGGTATTTGCTGAACCAGGTGCGGTCGTTGATGTTGCTATTCCCCACCTTTTACCCCCGAATCTTGCTTAAGAAACTTTGTTTTCTTTATGGGAGGGGTGCATCGAGTGAGGAAAGCATGGACTCATCTCCATCCATATCAGCACGCTTGGCCACCGAAATGAAGCGTCATCAATTAGCGAACCATAAGGCTTTAACATTCACAACACAAACCAGATCGCATACAATACCAAGACATCTAGAGTCTTGTACTAAACTCTTCAAATTTAAAAGGGTATGTCATCCTTAACACTCCGCCGTCAATATTCAATCACAACTCTTATGCTTACTTTCATGATATCGAGGTTGGGTAGTCACGATTCGAATGCAGGCTGTGTTTGAAACTCTGCTATACCTTTCCATCAGCCCGAGTCTCCCCGTGGCCCCTTTTTCCATTAGTCCAATACTAGAACGACACTTGATCTTTTTTTTTTTGATGGATTCATCTGATTAAAGGGGCAAAACTATACAAATAATAATGTATATAAACACCTTTAAACAGCTCTCAGCTACGTACCAAGTGTCTTAGCTCGGCCCGTCCCCTTCCGTTAGTCACGGCCTGAACGGTCCTCATGGCCCGTATCTGTTTGGATATTACGTCATCGACTCCTCGGATAGGTCTCTTGTAGTAGTCGCTTCAACTCGGATGGTTGTAGCGGCCTTAAGGAGCCAACTTCCTGCGACTCGCCACGCCTTCGGGTGTAAACCTTGAAAATCGTGGTGACGAATCAATTTAATTTTGTTAAGTTCTCCAATGAGTTGTCGGCTGGGGCCAACATTGAGTTCAAGCTCATAGGCTTGGTAAATTTTAGGTTCTGTGCAAAGATGGCATCTGAAACATCCTTCTTTAGGTGAACTCAATATGTCTTGTTTCTCTCTAAGGGCCCTGAAAGTACATTCGATTTCTACTTGATCTCGTGAATGGTTTTATTTGTTTAACTTACTAACGAAAAAGCTATTATGAAACAGCCTGGAGCTGTCTCTTAAACTACGAGTAGATCGGTTTATAGATAGTTCAGCCTTAGTGGATAGGCCTAGTCTATCTGTCGTATTCTCGATGTCTAAAAAGTGTTATCCTTCTTCAGGGATGTCTCAGCCTCACGCTCCTTTATAGTTCGTAACCCTTCTATACAGTAGGTGAGGGGTAACCCCGATCAGGAATGTTTAGACTCTTCGTCCTTCGTATTATACAGGATGACGAGAATCTATAATCTTGTTCATGTCGTATCATAACAAAAGCCCAATAGCAAGCGCCGTGGCGCAGTGGAAGCGCGCAGGGCTCATAACCCTGATGTCCCTGGATCGAAACCAGGCGGCGCTATTTTTTACCTAATCTGCTCCCTTGATTCCTCGCCACGCTTTAGCAAAACCCTTCGACAGCCATAAATGTCTCACATCCGCAAGACTGCTTCCGTGTTTCCGCTTAGACTCCGAACCATCAACAAAGACATTGTTCACTTTTTGAAGCGTAGAAGGAAACGATAGTTGCGGGATCTACCAACTCTTTGAGAAAGCTCATGACGTGCAAATAATCAGATGAAACCAAATGTGTGGATACCCCTCCCAGGCTAAAAGTCCCAAAATACGACGCAGACTATTTTTTCTGGACATTCCCAGAAGCAATGCGAGGCATCGTAGGAATTTAACGAAAGTTCAATACAGACCAAAACAGACAAAGCAATATGATTCTATATCTCTTGAACACATAAAAGTCAGGAAAATTCGCCTCCTCAAACTTTTTCCTAAATACTGATGGCAAAAGCATAATTTTTTTCCTAAAGGTTTTTTATATATCTTATTTATATAGTTTTGCCCCTTTGATCAGATAAATCTACCAAAAAAAAAAATATTGGCCCCGATCTAAAACTGCTACGAATACATAGAAGGTTCTAACTGATAAATTGTTGAGGTTCACAGCAACCCTAATGAAATATCCCATACGGATTACTGCATCCAGTGCGAAGCCATCTCTATGGTGCAGCTACTTTAAAAGGAGAGAAGTTTTTCTTCCTCTCTTCCAGTTTTTCCCCTAGTGGATTTTTCCTATCCAAACTAATCTTTCTACCTTTAATCATTCCTAGACTAACATGAATGGATCTAATACTGAAGAAGAGTCGTTTTGAGACCCTCTTCAGGACCAGGACTATGCTTCTCATAATGACATAAAACTCAGGTCTAATCCTATCCTTTCTCCAGCGGGGCTCACTATTAGCTCTGTCCTTACTTCCACACCTTCTGTGTACTATAAGTTGGATCCTTATGCTTACAAAAGGACTGCTTACCCTACGGCATTGTCATTGATACGCATACTGCGTATAGTTTCAACGCTCGCCTAGTACAAAGTAGACTTCAACATATATTCGCACTATCTGAACGGTATGCACTCACTGGATTCGCAAGAAATAAACTCGTTGAACTAATTCTATTTAAATTCGTGAACGCGTGTCTAAGCATTTGGGCTGCAATGGACACTTTGCCTTTAGTTTGGAACCCGATGAAAATAAATCAACTTATGATACTGCTTATCTAATCAAATCAATCCGTTCAAAGGAACACTCAAAATTTCTGTATTTTAATGTCATAATTCATCGGCGTGCCACCAGGTCTTCTATTTTGAATGCGAGAGACACAACCTATCTCGCTCTTAGCTTGGGTGCTTAAACATTCATTTTCGCTCCAGCCAACGGTTAAAAACAATTCCACGTGTTAAGGCTTCAGTCGTATCAAAAAAAAAAAAAAAAAAAAAAAAAAAAAC